ATGGCATCGCTTGAATATGGGAAGGGCTTGCGCGCACACATTGACATTATTAATCGGTGTAAAGCTGTAAGTGTTGCTGTATCATCTGCTTAAAAATTGAATAGAAGGGGTAGCTATACTCCATTGCAGGCCCGTGTGCTCGTGGTCTATGCTGGAAAGGATATGCTTATCGAACCGAAGATTTCACGAGAACTTGCTACTTCTTTCAGTGATCACAGAGCGCTGGTGGGTACGCCTTTGTAGGCTTTCTACTCGAACTACTTGATCAGCTATTGTTCATAACCTCACAAAGCGCAGCGCGTGTTGAGAGGAATATTTCTGTGTCTGTTATGTTGTAAAGCTTTGGAATTTCATACATACAGACATAAACATGCATACATTTTTTTCAGGCTTGTAAGGATAACGATGACGTATCAGAGGAAAAGGTTATACAAGAAACACGTGAACTTTTCTCAAAAGAAGCTAAAACTGTAAGTTCATAATTAGTTCTTCCTGATGCGCATATTCTTAGTTACTACTTACTCCATTCAAGGTTCCCCCTCCCTCCCCCCCCCCCCTTAATAGGAAGTAATGATTATTTGAGGAATAATTTCTCATAGAATCGCTGCTTTGGTGCTGGTATAGTGGTATAGATAGGTTTGTTCAATCCTTATGATACGGTTTTATTCGCAGAACAAGTTTATTAGGCCTAAGACAGATCTCATTTTTCATTTTCAAATTGAATTTCTTTCTTTACTTCATTTTTCTTTCGTGTCTTTCGCTGGGTCCGAAAACATCCGCAGTATAGAAAGTCAGTCATACTTAACAGGGATAGAGTGCTTTTGTGAATCTTGGAATTCGACATTTTAGGTTTCGGTCAATTTCGAAATGAGCGGTCATTTCCTTCAACGAGATCGAGCACGGTACATTGCTGATTCTATTGAAGCAATTCTGCGAAGTCAAATATAACTGTTCAATGATTCAAAGCAACAAATTCAGAGGAGGTCGTGCCGAGCAATTCATTTTGAAGTTAGGTAGAGTTGCCCATCAGTGTCGCAGTTGTGCCGTTGACCTGGCTCGACAATGGCGTTAGAGATGAGCTAATAGTGGCTAATAAGAGCTAATGGACAAGACCAGTACCCCATGATACCGTGGATTACGACGTAGCGCTTCTTCAAATACGTAAGGGTCAATGGAGCCATAGAGCAAGCTAGTTCAGCCAAATCGTCTGGTCACTTCCCTCCCTCATCTCGTGGGGAACAGAGGAAGTCACTCTTCAAGAGTTTAATCACTAGGTGTTCTGTTGCTTTCCTCAGTCGAGATCCACAAATTTCATTGTTCGACCGCTATTACCTCACCAATTTGATCTGAGTTTGTTGCTCACATAGGCCTTACATGTCCCTTCCGTTGTGCTTTCGTCATTATTTTCGTGTTTTTATATTTGTGAATTTTGCTTTCACTAGTATTTGTGGTAGTTGTTGAGCTAGAGATGCTAGAAGGAAGTTTCGATATCATAGAGGAATTACTGAGTAGACCATAGCGCATCGCTAGGTAGTATTTCGTGCCTTGTTGCTTTTTGTCTGTTTGTCATTTAATAGGTTATTCAATTCAATGGATTTAACTTCACTTGAATAGTTTGCCATTTTAGTCGGTATATTGAAGGATGAAGATGGTAGCATAAATTTCAGCGGAGTTTTTTTGCGTTGTTTGTTTGTTGTTCCAAGTGAGACATACATGCAACCTGACTAATAAGAATCAGCACAAGTGGTCTATAAGCTCTGTACTGGAAAGGAGCTGGTAGTAGCCAGTTGAAGTAGCTTGTGCGTGCACACGTTTGAATCCGATATTTGAACTGTGTTGATTTATTTGAAGAAACACCATAGTTTGTTCGGTTCTTGAGAGTGGAAGGCGACGTTGTTCCGAGAAGCCTGCTTACCTCGCCCTCGCTTTACAGGCAGGGCCAATCCTATGTTGCGACAAGTACCAACGCGGGGTCGTATTTTGTTGAGTTTGTAGGAGGGGGTCGTATTCGATGTAATCTTAGAATTTATGGTTGAGTTTAGGGCGCGTAGTGTGAAGGAGCGAGAAAAATTTTGCCATTTCACCCCGCTCGACGGCTGTTTTATAGGGAAAAGTGGGTGGAGTTAGGTGTAGGTGTGTCGACTGGTCTCAGAATTGAATACTAGAAACAGCGACCATGATGGCGAGGGTGGTGAAGGGGGGGTCGTGAATTTTTGATTGGAAGGAGGGGTCGTAAAAAATTTCCGAAAAGTCGCAACGGTAGGATCGACCCTGTTTGCAGCTTGAATCTTGCACGACCATCGTCAATTTGGCAAGGGTTACCTGTTCTAACTATTAGTTACATACCCAAAGATAAATGAGTGGGAAAAGAGCTGGTGCAGGGTGGATCATCCAGATTCCTACGGATCCAACTTCACTCCTTTCTGTGAGGTTAATGGTAATTTTAAAGAGCCGTCCTAGAATGGATGTACGCTGTCAAATTGCTGAACGGCTCTATACAAGTGGGATGGGCACGCCCAGCTTTTCACGCATGTCAAGTGACTGCCCCGCCCCCACCCCCTAGATTGGCTACACTCCCCCTGGCTCACGAATTCCCCGATTCTCGTGACAGTATAGTAGCGGGCAGCAGTCCCACTTACATACATTTCTGTTCAAAAAATGCGGCG